AAGGAGGTGGTAGACACATTGCTCCAGCTAGGTGCTGACAAGAACGCACAGACTGCAAATGATGGCTATTCAGCATTGCACTTGGCAGCAAAGAAAGGCCACAAGGAGGTGGTGGATATGTTGCTCCAAGTGGGTGTTGACAAGCATGCAATGACAGCGGATCAGGGCTATACTGCACTGCATTTTGCTGCTATGGAGAGACACCAGGATGTGGTGGACCAGCTGCTCCAGGCAGGTGCAGACAAGGAAGCGGTAGACAATAATGGGTTTACTGCGTTTGATTTGGCACCTCTCTCGTTGCACCAGAATTTGGTGCTTCAGACAGTTTCTACGTTTCAGGGTGCTTAAAGACAGCATTGACAGGCGGAAGCACCGCAAGTTTAAAAAGCATGAGGCATCCATGGGTGGACGCTTCGACTAATTACATTTGTGGTGCAGTGTTTTGACCCACAGCAAGTGTTTGGGTCGGTGAAGAAGATACTTTTAACTTACTGTATTTGGAGGGGTCATGAAGTGGTCGGGGAGGCGGATGTCATGTTGTTTGCGATTTGCAAAAAAACCGCCACGAGTTGGGACGGCACATTTAGAGTTGTTCTTCTTTTGAATGGGGATCACCCTTTGGTCGCCTTCTCTTGTAGTCACTCGAGTGTGTTTCTGTCACGGAGTTGCTATTGAGCTTCTTCAAGGCTTTATCCGTTTGTTGGCTACCTTTGCGGATCTTTGCGGTGTGAACCCCCCTTCACATTGGAGCTGAGCTTCACATTATCCAACAGAATTTATACCATTATCCAGCTGAGTGTGTGTGTGATAATAGTATAGTTTCTGTTGGATGGATTGAACAGCTGAATCGCTGGTCAACTTGCTGCATTGGCATGTTGAGAGGAACGACCCTTTCTTCAAAGATACTGTTGAACAAATAGTTTGCTTGTCCTACCTTCCAATGAACATTTTCGTTTGTTTGAAGATTATCCTGGTGAGTGTACAGCAGCATGCTTGGGACTCTGGATCGCTTCACATTCACACGCATAATTTAGTGTGAACAGATGTCCTTGGTTTTCTATCTCATGGAGTTGTTGTCCATTCTTATGGAGGTTTGGGCGGTTGTTGTGTGAACCCTCAGCTCAGCTTGAATTGGGGCTTTTGGGATTTGACGCGACGCGCGCACTTGCGTTCCGTGTTCGGCCATGAGGTTTAGCCTCATTTTGAAACGTCGGAAAGCTCAGCGGTTTGTTGGTAATCGTTGGCATTTGGAGCTGACCCTTCAGTTTGTTCTGGGCCGGACAAGGAGCAGGTCACAAGGATGACTGGAAGGAATTTGGTCCTATTTATGTCAAACTGAGAGGCTGAGTATAGGAAGAACAGACCACATGCTCAGTCAGTGACCATAATTGCCGAATATTGTCGGGTGGAGGAAGTATAGCCTGTGCTTTACACAGGACTGAGAACTGTGGTATGGGTGTGAGAACGTGTGTAGTCTGCGCATGTTTGCGCCAATCATTGAATTTTGCAGTTTGGTCATGTTTTTGGGATGATCAGACCCTGATCTATATAATCACAATTGCCCCGTTTTGTGGAACCAACACAGATTTACAAGTGGTATGGCTCAACAATGCAAGATTGATAGGTGACATTTTGATGACCACAGATGCCGTTTTGTGGCAGATTGGTAGGGTTGAATGAAGCTCCCCAATGTGGGTTCAACATTTTGGCTGTGTTCAAACATACTGACAGTCTTACAATACATTCCATTCCCCAAGTCCTTCGGGTTAAACAAACTCTTCACGTTTGAATTCATATTCCCGCTCCCTCTCTCCCTGGGCGTTGTTGGTTGGTTCGAGGTCATTGTCTCCGCTCCCACTCAGCTGCGAGGTGTCGAGACCTGGAGGAATTCCTACTTCGGTCCTTACGAGTCGGGGCCACGCGCGTGGAGCGACGCGATCCGCGTGGTACAGCGACTCTGCGCGCGGCGGTACAGCGCGGAACTCTCTCTCTCTCTCCCTCTCCGCGCACGCAACGACGCAACCGAAGAGGTTTTGCAGGCGTTTGTTTGTTTTGTTTGTCTCAGGTTGGCTCTTTGAGTTCAGAATTTTGGGGGTTTGGTCGACTTGGTTTGGGAGAAACATAGTAGGTAAAGGCCAGAATGCTTTAGAGGAGTGTCTATTTTTGGAACCTATATAGAGACCCAATGTGAGTGGATAATGGACACGCCTGCCCTCCACTAAGCAGCACGATGGAAACTTTTTTGAGTGAACTCCTGACAGAACCGTGGGATTTCTGCGTTTCACAAGTGATTGTGTAGATTGATCTTTAAATATCAATGGAATCACCGTTTTGCAGTCAGAAGTTCCAGTGCTACCGGAATTCTGGTTGGTTAAGATGTGTTTGACTTGTTGCTTGGTGGCAGGGTGGGAATTCCTTCAGATCATCAAATCATATCAAATCCCAAAAACAAGACGTAAAATGGGAAGGAAACAACTAATTAGCGTCCACATGTTGACAGGTAAAGCTTTACGAACAGAAGCACCAAACAAGCCAGATGGAGGTCTCCTAGGCAAAGAGAACGTTAGAAGAAATCTGAAGGAACCTAACAGACCCGGAGATGGACACGTATTCCGAACCAAAAACACCCATGGACCAACCAAAAACCGTGCACCGTGGTGAACACATGTGAACAAAATATAAACCCTAAAAAATCAATGGAGATGGAGGTCTCCTTTGGTCACATATGGTCACATGGATCGCCTCGAAGATGATTGTCTCTACCAATTGTTTAGTCTCAATGGGAGCGGTGAGGCTCGGCAAGACTAGACGGAAGAAGGTCGCAAGCACGGGAAGACAGGGTTGACTGTGTTAAATCTTGGGTAACAAATCCATGTCCATAACTCCGGAATTCTTCGGTTTCTTCAGTTCTAGAATTCTAGTGACTCCAGTGGACAACATGTATATTTATATCTGATTGTTCTTGTTCTCTCTCCCTTTGGTAGGCTTTAGAGGTTTGGGAGCTGTTGTAGACAGATACGACAGCCCTGAATCCCACCGGCTTTCGCTGCAAACCACCAACGGATCCGCCTGAACGACACTCCGAAGCCGTCATGTTGACTGGGTCGTAGGATCCCACAGGAGGCAGAATTCACATGCCCAGCGCATCATTATGTTGATTTGGTGATGAACAGAATCAACAGGTGCAGTAGTTTCTTACATGAACCAAACAAATCCGAACAGCAATATGTAACAGTTGTCTATATCCGGTCGTGGATCGATGATGGTTCCTCTGTTGAGGTTCCTCTCCGAGACGGTGATGTCTTCCTTGCCCGGGCCACCGAAGAGCGACCTTGGGAGCTGGGCAGACTGAGTAAGCTATGATCCATTCCCTCTTGAAAGTTGTTTTGGTTGATGGACGCAGAACCTTGGCGTTTGCACGGCCACCCTCTGTAGAGTGGAGATATCATGCATTTTTTGGGGTATATGTCGGGATCTCTTCCTTCAGTAAGGAGCAATCAGAAGCACTCCGTGAGAGATAGGCTTTGTTTCACCCTCTCTCCAACAAGCATGGAAGACAAGTTGCTTCTACAAATCAAGTTTGTTGGAAGGCAGGTACTTCTGCGGTCGTACTCATCGCAGTCGTCGGTAAGTGTCAAGCAATAGTGGGGTAGTCTCCCCGCCCCATCCTAGTCGCTTTTCTTTGTTTGTTTTTTTGAGAACAACCAGTTGCAGAATTAGATGGCTGAATTGGAGATTTGAACATTCTAGCTTGGTTCGAAGACCTCTATACTGGAAGATGTGGCTTTAGCTCAGACACTATGCCAGAGCATCTCATTCGGGCAAGGTGGAGGTTCTCAAGACTGAAGGTATAGACTGAGAAGCACTGTGGGTGTTCCTCTAGTGACTTTCGGGGCAGATTTGGGTGTTTGTTCCAGCATTCTTGGAATGTGTCGAGCGAAAATGATCCCTTCTGATCAGTTTTAGGGGAGTCGTGTCTTTCCGCACACGCACAATCTATTATGATAGTTGATGATAGTTGATTAATGTACGAAGCTTGGGCTTTGTTCATCCCCTTACTTTGCAGGGACACCCACTCGAACGGTACAACATACCAAAGGTCCAGGAATTTACCAACATCTTCCAGAACCATACTGCTGACTATATAGCCTCACCAACAGACAGTCACTCTTTTGATTTACTGTTGGTGCTTCTATGGGAGAGTGAAAGGCATCAATGTTGCTGTTTTGTTGTTTTGTTTTCATGGTGCATCAACAAAAACTTGCTGGCAAATGCTTGGTGCCTAGAAAAAGGCTGCATCATTGTGTTTGCCACGAGAAAGCTTTGTGCCTTGCTGGCCTTCATCTGTTTGAAGCTCCGCTCCAACCGAAATCAACCACTCAACCACCAAATCTGTTCCCAACACCACCAGCGACTTTCTGTATCCAAGACACCAAGCATCACAAAAGCATCACCTAAGCACCACCAAGCTCACTCCCATCACCACCATGGTGGTGACCCTATCGTCCTCCCTCAGCAGCCGACTGGACTCTTGTTTCGGAATGTCTGTCCGTCCCTCAGGGTGCCCATGTGCGAGATGCAGCCGGACTTGTGCGGCGCACTGGTGGTCCGAGCGCCAGACGTCGCGGGTTGGGCGGGTCGGGTCGTCCGAGTCGGTAGGTAAGCAATAGCCTCGGTCCGAGGCGGGCCTTTTAACATTTAGAAGGGCAAAAAGGATGGCCCAAGGTAGTTTTTTTGGGAGGTGTTTGGTTGTTTGGACCAAAAACACCTGTTTGGACGGTGGAATTGGCCTCTCCGGAAGGCAGGGTGCAGTGGGTCGACATTTGAGGGTGTTTGTTCCCTTCCGGATGAGCTGGAAATGGCAGATCAGAGCTTTTTCAGAAGGGGAGCGCGAATGACCGGATTAGGTTCCTTCTTTATGACCAGAATTTGCGAAGAATACGAGTATGGTATGTTTGACTGAGTTAATCAAGATATGTGGCATATTCACATCGCTTCGCGGTGGAAGCTGCCCCCCACAGATTAAATGGAGAATGTGTCAGTAGCACCCCACGAGGATATGGGTTGGTTATTGGTGTGGGAAGCAGCAACTTGTGCTCGCGGAGCCGGGAAGCAGCAACCTGTGCTCTCGGAGCCGGGAGGAAATGGTAACCAGGCTCGAGCGTGAAGAAGTGCAGAGTGAGGAAACACCGAGGGGTGGGTAGTTGAGCCAAACTTGGGGCACGACTGGTTGGAGTTGCAGTATTAGGAGGGCACTAGTGTACTGGGTCGGGGGTCGGGAAGCAGCAGCGATAGGTAAATCGGGCTTCAGAATTATACTGGCAGAAGAGTCTGGCTGGCCTCAGCGATGGGGAATGTGATTGATATTGGCGGCTGGGGCAGAGGCAAACAGCAAGGGGCTCAGCCGAGGTTGCGTGGAGAACGTCAGTTAAGAAAGATGCCGGGTAGGGGGGCGCAAAGCATCACTCGAATGGAAGCAGACCTATAGAGACGAGGACCGCGCATTGCGCAGGATCCAGCCACGTGAGCATGCATGCTGTGAAACAATACGTTGTTGCAGTTTGTTTGGTACATTGAAACATGCGCGTGAGCGAACTTCCACCATTGGTGTCGCCTTCGTTGCAGTCAAATGTCAGGATGCCACTTGCCTCGTGGCTCGAGATGCTGGCTTGATGAGTTCATCTACAAGAAGAATATGACAGAGATCTTGGGCAAAGGCAAGGTTGATGGTCACTGGCCAAAACGCAAGTGTGGTGTCCTCCCACAGACCTATGGTGCCTCCCAGCGACGTATCGTCTCACCAAGGAAAGCAGCCGGCAAGGAAAGCAGCCGGCTTCCCGAAAGCCATGCTAAAAAGCTGTTCGAAAAGCTAGGCCTGCAGCTACGCCGACGAAGTGGACAGTGAAAAGAAGGCACCTTTGCCACACACGGCTGCTTTGAAACATGTGACATATTGAACCGTTTCAGTGTGCCACGCTGCAATATGTCGACATAACAAATGTGAACATAGCACGCGTTGCGTTATATAGCGTTTACAAACTCGTGTGCAGAGCGCAGAAGATTTTCCTTTGTATGGGTGTGCAAACTGAGCGTTAACATCCCAATCCCCACCCCAGTCTGAGTCACTCGCATTGTGTACGTAGCGTCGCGTAGAACAGTTTCTCCTGCATGGTCATGCAGGCACGAGGCGTGTGCAGCGCATGACGTTTCGGTCCCGCAAACGAGTGATTTGCGTCTGCAGGGTCCTGCAGGGAACCTCCTAAACCAACATAGCTCTCATGTTTTGACCTGTTTGAAAGCACGCATGTTTAAATCGAAAGCTCTCAATACTCGAGGTTTTGGCCTGACAGGGAGCCATCTCGAATTTAAATCCAACCTTTTTCTTACTACGGGTCTCTTTGACTTTTTTGAACCTTTTCTGTCTTGCTTGAGCGTCTTGCTTACATGAAATATGTTCTTTCTTAAAGCAAACCTCTCTTTCTTCTAAGACCTTTTTTTCTGAATGAACTTCGTCCTCCTTAGATAAACTTCTTCCTCCTTTACTCTTACCACCTTCTCTCAATATATGCATCTCTTCTTTCTTAATGGAACTACCTCTTCTTAAACTCAACCTTTTTTCATAAGACTTGAATGAACCTTTTTTCGTGATTGAACTTCTTTCTTCTTGCGTTTTTTCTTTGAAGACGTTTTTTCTCAATGAATCAATGAAATTGTCTTTCTTAATGCAATCCAGAAAAGTGAAATTATCCCGTCAAGAGACCCCAAACAGTGTGTGTGTGAGGTCTATCAGCAGATAGTCTAGAGATCTGTGGTGATGGTGGCGGTGGTGGTGAGTGTGAGTGTCAGTGTGAGTGTGGGTCTGGGTCTGGGAGTGAGAGTGAGAGTGTGAGCGTGGGTGTGAGAGTGTGAGAGTGAATGTGTGTGTGCGTGCGTGAGTTGAGTGAGTAAGTGAGTGAGTGAGTGAGTGAGCGAGAGTGGGTGTGAGTGAGAGTGAGTGAGTGAGAGTGAGTGACTGAGTGAGTGAGTGAGTGAGTGACAGAGAGAGAGAGTGTGTGAGTGAGAGTAGAGTGAGCGTGATTGGGAATGTGAGTGTGAGTGTGTGTATGTGAGAGGAGGGTGAGTGCGAGTGTGAGTGTGAGTGTGAGTGAGAGTGAGTGTGAGTGTGAGTGTGAGAGAGTGAGAGAGTGAGAGGGTGAGAATGAGAGTGAAAGTGAGGGTGAGAGTGAGTGTGATTGAGAGTGAGTGTGAGTGTGAGTGAGAGTGAGAGAGTGTGTGAGTATAAGAGTGTGAATGTGATTGTGAGAGATAGTGAATGAGTGTGAGTGAGTGTGAGTGTGAGCGGGTGAGTGTGAGTGTGAGTGTGAGTGTGTCGGAGTTTGAATGTGAGTGTGAGTGAGAGATAGTGAGAGTGAGTGCGAGTGCGAGTGTGTGAGAGTGTGAATGTGAGTGTGAGTGAGAGATAGTGAGAGTGAGAGAGTGTGTGAGTAAGAGTGTGAATGTGAATGTGAGTGTGAGAGATAGTGAATGAGTGTGATTGAGAGTGAGTGTGAGTGTGAGGAGCGTGGGTGTGAGTGTGAGCGTGTGTGAGTGTGAGTGTGAGTGAGAGCGAGAGGGGAGCATCTAGAGCACACACGAAATCCGCAATTCGAGGTTCACCAATTGCTGGACTTCGAGGTTCACAAAAAGTGATGTGCCTGCTACGAAATCTGCACTTCGAGGTTCACTAAGTGCTGTGCCTGCCACGAAATCTGCATTTGGAGGTTCACAAAGTGCTGCACCTGTCACGAATTCTGCACGTCGAGGTTCACAAAGTGCTGCGCCTGTCACGAAATCTGCACTTCGAGGCTCACAAAGTGCTGTGCCTGCCACGAAAGCTGCAAAGGAGCCACATGTGGAAAAGCTACGACGCTACGATTCACTGGCACCTGTCACGAAATCAGAGCACCTCGACGATCACCACGTCCAAAGTGCTGCATCTGCTACGAAATATGCACTTCGAAGTAAAACCGCTCCGACCCCTTGCACCTGTCACGAAAAGTCGACTTTGGACCACGCCTGCCACGAAAAGTGACCACCATGTGCGAAAATGCGCACGGCACCACAACGAGAGCGCATTCGCGACAAGCGCTCGCCGCCGCCACCCAGATTTTGCAAACCTGCGCAGTCGAAATGCAGGTCGACGTTTTCGAGAAGTATGAATCTACTGTAAGTAGCAGCGAATTAGCCGTCCACGCCCGTGCGCCCCAGCGATCTAAGCACAGCTGCTTTTGTCCTACCATAAGAAGCCTTAAGTGTGTCCACACTGCTTGGGGAATCATTAGTTGCAAATTTTTCGAGTTTGCTTCGATGATGCATGTGGCTGCGAGTGGCGGGATGTGACAGCAAGTGGCTGTGTTTTCAGACATGTGCCCACTGGCTCCAGCGGCCACTTGCAGCCACTCGTGCCACTGGGTCCAGCGGTCACTTGCGGCCAATGAAATTTCATGTCACAGAGTGTCACCATTGCTTCTGCGATCTTTCTTGTTCTTTGTGAAACAAAACAACAATTGAGAGTGGGATAGCTATAAGGGTAGGGCACACGGTCGGCCGCACGGCCATCGTTCCCATCAAAGTGAAGACTTGAATATTTTGATGTTTTTGCAGAGTTGATCCCCGGAAACTGAAGTTTCGAAACCTGAAATTATACCAATAAGGCCAGTTAGAAGAACATGTTTTTTGGGGTTTCACTCGTGTTCTTGATCCGAAAACAACCTTTTTTTGATTTTCTGTTTCCAAAACGCTTCGTGACGCACCCGAATTCTCCAGATCCTCTCAGTCGAATCCCTCAGGCCCTGTTCCATAGCTTCATCACGCACGGTGAGACGAGGCCGCACGGTCGACAGGAACGGTCGAAAGGCTGGTTCCTTACTCAGTGTCCATAGCTGGACCTGGACTATGTTTCGAACGTGTTTTTTTTGGGGACAACAATTAACAAGAAACCTTCCATTGAGTTTCCAGCAAAAATGATCTGCACCACATGCAGACCGGGTTTCCACATTGGCATAGTTCATTTAGAATGGTAGGAAGGCGGAGCCGGTTTTGTGCAGCAAGGATGTTCCTAGTTGGATCCATGCCGCTTGTCAAAATGACTCTACTCTACTACTGCATCATGCGCACATGCGCTCACCAAAACCACCTGCATTGAGTATCCTTCGACAAAAGATCGAACAATTCTCCTTTTTGTTGACGCCTCACAGGTTGTTGGAGCGTGTGTGGGCTGGTGGTTTCGTGTCCGGGGGCCTCTGCTTCGGGCTGTGAACCACGGCTGGAAGTGCCTGAACCCATGTGGAGAAGGGAACGGCGAACGACCCAGTGGTTGCAGGGGAAGCTCCAAAAATTCTATTACACCAGCTGTATACATGTGCCACTGCGCCATTGGGCAGGTATGCATAGCTTGTGATAGTGCGTGTGATATGTTCGGTTGGCATCCATGGAAGTAGCGACGCAGGGCTGCACGGCCAAGATGGTGTGGAAGATGATGTTCCCTATACATGGGGATGTGTTTTCCAGTTTCTTTGTTGTGGCAGAGAACATATACTACCCCCAGTAGGCAGTTGGAAACAAAACAGCTGCAAAAAGACAATCTTTATCCACAGTCAACTGTTGAAAAAGAAGAAGCATAAGGTGCTTCTGCATGAACCTCAAAAGAGACAAATGATTAGATAATCCAGAATCCAGAACGTGTTCATCCTTTTGTGGTTTCTTCCACACAAGGGAAGGCTCCTTTGAACCATCTTCCGGACCCTTGCGACCGAGGACATCAAGTCAACAAGTAGAACTTGGGCAAGGGGCGATGAGGCAAGTGCTATTCCTGCGACGAACCCTTTGTCTATGCCTACACCACCACCACCCAAGCTGGATTGCTACAAGCACAGCTATCCGTAGACATATGCATATAGATGTATGCCTAAAAGCCTTTCCCCATTGCCCCGGGTAATTGAGCGAAAACTGAGGCCATGGCTTTGCAAACGCTTGGTCAGAGCGCCCAGCCCCGTGTTGTCGTGCGGTGGACGCGGGGGTTCTCTGTCACGACTATGTAGACTCTTGGATTGCTTGCCGCCAGGACAAAAAATGGTTGAAGAACAAGTTAGACAATAGAAATAGCAAGTTCACTTTTTAGGTATTGGCAATGATTTGCCTCCAGTTGTTCATTTTGTACTTAGAACAACGTCGCATGAAGGCATTTTTTTCAGTGTCATCAACAATCAACCATTTTTTGGTGCCCAATGTCCAATCCAATTGACTGAACTGATTGGAGGTCCAAGCTTCATGAGATTCACCCCAAACCCTTCCGAAATTGTTCTCAACTCAGGTTTTGTTGGACTTTTCATTCTCTATTGTCTTTCCGATCACACTCAGCAGAGCTTTCAACAGAGGTTTTCGGGTTTGGATTGATCGAGGAAAGCACGGGGGGTCCTCAGGGTCGATTCTACCAGAGAAGCGATGAACACGAAGCGAGTCCAGCGGTCCAGCGGTTGGAGTGAAACCGTTGGACCTCCTCTTCGGGTAGTGTTTCCTCGGATTTTTTGTCTGGCTTTTGGTGGGACAAATGACACATCCAAGCTTTTTGTAGATTGTTTGAACTGAAAATCGAAAGGGTTTGGAAGTGAAGGGATAGTGGATGAGCAGATCGTGCCATTCGCTGCTTGCATCACAAAGGGGCATGCAGCAACAGGCAGCAACCCATCGGCTAAAAGAGGGTTCCGGTTCTTGCCAACCATGCACTCAGGCACTGTCAGTTTGGATGGAATTTGAGATTTATTAGTTATTAAGTTAAGAACATTCAACAGATAGACGATGCTGCAAAAAGTCTCGCCGCTTTCTATGCAAAAGTCACATGATGGTGATTCGTATATAGAATAATAAGACCAGAAGGCGTTACGAAGTTGTTTGGGAACATAAAGATCTATTGAATTTGGTGCATGAAGGCGTTTGGGTGTGCTGCGAAGAACCATGAAGAACTTGTCTTTGACCAAAGGTGTTTGAGCTAGTTTGACCTGTTTCATCCGGTCGAACCGGACCATTAGGACCGTTATTTGCATGACAGAAATGGAATTTACAAATGTGTCGCATGACCACAATGTTTCTCGTTGGCAACAAGAGGATCAGGATTTCTTGCAAAAAGCCTTATTTCCACCACCTCAGAATACCTCAGTCATCATCATCCACTGTTACTGCTCCTATGACATACCAAAGCTCTTGCCGTCCCGACCGCTGCGGGGTGTTGAGCCCTGCGCTGTGCCACCGAGCCCTGCGCGCGCGATGCAGGGCGACAAGTCGAAGATTCAGCTGGCGATGGCGGAGCGAGAACCCTTGGTGGTGCGGAGCTCATCATCTCAGAGGTGTGTTGGTTTACTTTGCGGGCAAGAACATTTGGGTTACTCTACATGTTTTTGGGTTATTTTTTTGGGAGGGTGGCCCCTTTTCTTCGGTGGACAATAGGGATGAAGTAAGAGTCATCGGAGGTTTCCTTGCGAAAAGCTTGGATCTTTCAGGGTTTTAAGGGTTGATTCTCTTTTCAGTGGTCAGTGGGTGGAATGTGAAGAGTTGACGGTACGTAATGATTGTTGTTGTCATGTCATGTCATGTCCAATGTTTTGTGTGTGTTTTTTCAATACATATTGCTAGAGAGTTGGCCGTTGTTCTTCTGGGTGAAAACATGTGGAAACCATGATGTTACTGGCGCGGTGCATTGGACCTACCACTACATTCGCATCAAGGACGATGAGGTCATCGAAGCCCAAAACAGGCAAGTTTTCGATAAGCAAGTGTTTGCCTGAAGTATGACCTTCACAGCAGAATTGCATGCTGGCTGTTTTTCCTTTGATGTACATAATATATTCATGTTATGTTCCATTGATGTCCACCACAAGTCTTGTAGCCGCAGCCCGCTGCGCGCGCAGCCCCATGTCCGATGTCCGCGCAGACCCCCCAACGGTCATGGCCGGGCCTTTGGGGCAGGTGGAAGGTGGCTCCAAGGACCTGCCTGTGTTCTGCGCTGTTTGTGGGGGGAAGCGGAATGGCCCACATGGCCATGGTTTAGAGTCTGGAGATGGGCCCACATGGATGCAATGGATGTCAAGTGAGGTTTGGATGTAAGGGTAAAGCATGTTGGAGAGAGAATATGTGTTCCATCAAAACTGTTTAGATGGATGTGAAATTTTGGAGTTCGGAAGCTCGTTACCTGGTGGTTAATCTGTGGGGAAGTCCCCGGAGCAGCCTTTAGGCGTAGAGAATTCACTTCAGGTTTCAGTGTCAAAAAGGTTTTTAACCAAAAAACATATGAGCAGCAGCAGCGCCATAAACTCCCATGTAAAGGTTTAGTAAGAGAGTTATTCTAACGTTGTGGCGCGAAAGCTAAAACCCAGGCCGCGAAAGCTCGCGAAAGCATTTTGCGAAAGACCCTGAAGAGTATTGGATGCGAAAGGTCTTGCGAAAGCATATATTAATGCTGGCACATAACCAAGTCAAACAGTTATTCATTTAGTATCTGAAAGCTGGTGATGGGACTAGAATCCGCGAAAGCTTCGCGAAAGCTTCGCGAAGGAAGCGCGAAAGCAAACCTGGAGTAGAAAATGTGTGTGGTATATCTGCTGCTTCCTATACTGTCCCTGCCCAAAGAAAACCTAGCGTACTTACAATGCTTCCGTCCCCACTAAAGAGGCAAGCGCGAGAAAGCGCCTGCGAAAGCAACAGTTGGAACACCAATGCGCGCGAAAGCTAAGACTGTGGTCGCGCAAGCAGCGCGTAAGGATCTGCGAAAGCATGTTGTTAGTATAAGGGCTTAGGATAGAGGTTTTTGGCATGGCTCATATGTTTATCAATCGATGGTTGCCACTGCTACAAAGGAATGGACGGCATCCCGTACGCAGTTTGAAAGAAGTTGCCTTGGCAGCGGCTTCGACGATGTGTAGCGCGGTCTTTTCTGTGCCTGAGACTGGGGGAGAACCCCTCATCCGAGCTGCCGATGGAAAGACCTGGTGAAACACCAAGGGGATGAAACTGATTAAACACAAAACTGTGTATCAGGCTGCTTCGTCCTTTGGGGCTAACAATTCATCTGTGAATGTCAACCCTTAAACATCCTTCAACAAACATAGCCAAACCCGCTGGTTTTGCGGTGTCAAATCAGTCAAAAGAGCTCGGGTTCTTCGGGATGACCCGACTTGTTATAGATCAATGGGGGGAATCCTAAGAATTCTAAAGCTTTCTCCGGGGTCTCGCCGCACCGCCCGCGCCGCCCGCGTCCGCCTCAGGAGATTCCGCGCGACGTGCCGCACCAAGTCGCGAAAGGCGGCCCGTGCGTGGTCCGCGTGCTCGGGGCGGCGGGGCCGTGCCGGTGCAGAAACAGCACGACGTGGTGATGGGCTCGAAGGTATGGCACTCCCAAACCCCCACCACCCACCAAAAAAATACAATAATTGTTTTACTATGTAAAAAACAAGATATCGTGCATGGGAAAAAAAAAGGGGTCCAAAAAGCTTAGCTGGCTCCTTGAATTCGGCTCTTGTGTTTGTTGGAAACCACCGATCGCATTTGGGTGCACTATTCGGGTGAGAATGCCTCAGCGAACAGCTGCCACAGTCGTTGAACAGCTGCGTTGGGCGAAGCAGCACAGCGAGCTGTTCGAGTCAGTTGTGTTGAGTTTCTGGATCTCAAACACAACTTTTGGATCTCACCTCAACTGGCATTGAGGACAGCTGATCTGGATCTCACCTCAATGCCCAGTTTCTTTACTCCTCTTTTTGCTGTTGAGCCCCAAAAGGAGAGGCGAAGACGAAGGCCAGACGTCGGGAAGAGAAAGAGGGCAGTCGGGCTCCCTGAAAAAGAGACGCGACTCTCCAGGCGTTGAAACCAACATGACTCGAATGACTCATCTAGGACCATAGGGTTAGATGGTTAGTATAGATGACTCAAAATCAATCAAAAGGATCCAAAAGGGCACCCATACGCACAGATCAGCATGAAGACTTCTCGATCCAACCTAGATCATCGGAGTGATGGTTAATTCGAAGATCTTGGCACCACTTGGAGGGTCCAGTGTGGTATATATATATATATACCAAACCGCCTGGAGAAGCTCTACGACGCCTCCAACCGCTCGAAGCAAGAAAAATCGCGATCGCGGTGGCCAACGGCCTCCAACAGCACCTGAGAGTGATCCGCTTCTGCCCTGGACGGGTTGGACCGTCTGGGGGCACCAATGAGTGGGTCCATCCTATCCGGTCTCCAGTCGTACCTTTGTTTCGAAGGTGTTTGGGGTGGGTTTAGAGGGTCCAGATAGCTTCTGAGGAGGTACTATATTACCCAGACACTAATGGGACTGCCACAGGACTGATCAGGCCAGGGGTGGTTGACTGGGGGTCAATGTAGACATATATGGCAGTCCCATGGAGTGTTTGGGTTATATTGTTTTTGGATCTTGAAGTTCGTTGTGTTGTGTTTGGATGACAGATGAAGAGAAATACGGGACTGACAAATTGGAGAATTGTAAGGATATCGGGGACAAATCCAAGAGTTTGGAATGTCAAATTCCCATGAACTCCCAGCCCTTCATGACATGCAGGCTCGAGATGGCTCGAGCATGTGTTGTTTCATAGATGTCCTGTTTGAAAAGAGGCAAATGAAACATATAAAAGTGATAGTTTCGCCAAGTGGTCCGACCGTGGTCCAGTAGGAGTTCTTGTGTGGGCCATATGTGGGACATACATGTTGTTTTCTACCTAAAGAACCTGAGTTCGACCTTGATTCGGTCGACCACCAGGCACCGATCAATACAGGGGTCAAGTTCGAATCCACCAGACAGTCACCCGGATTAGAAACATGCCGGGATTAGATGATGTTCTTCCGGAGTTGGTGTTTGGTCCTCGTTTTTTTGGGGGACAAAACCAAAGCACGTTTGGTCTCCACCCCAATCAATAAGGGGCACTGACTTGGCGAGCACTGACTTGATCTCTGTGGATAGGGCTCACAGCACATTGGTGATATTTCGACCGCATCGAGTGTGGCTGGTAGGTCTCACAACACTGAACTGATGGGGTGTGGGGCGGATGTCCCGGTGGAACTTGAGGTGTTTTTCGCTTTGGAAGTGCACAGGTTTGAGCCGAGCTCACCTGGAGCTCACTTGATATAGCCTGGGACTGACACATGGACCGATCCACTTGGGTGCTTTGAGGGGTCAATGTATATATGTACAGTCTATATACGCTATATATAAATATAGCTATATAGGTATATACGGTATATACCTGGAGTCTCAAAGGACCTCGGAACATGGGTACTTCAGTACCTGCTTTTGGTTCGGGTCACCAAACCCATGTACTTCAGCTACGACCGAGTCGGGTCCAGGTACTCCAGGACCGGTCGTGTGTGGCTCTGGGCTGCGGAACTCGGAACGCGGACGTGGGGGAACGGCCACGGCGACGTCATGCATTCCTCTCTTGTCTATACTCTTCACTTTCCTTGCGAGTTGGTTGCCTCAAACCTGCCAAAGAAGAGTGATGTATCATTTTACGGTACGCTCAGTGACTTCTCGTTCAGCCCACCTTGCCAAGCGGCGCCAGTTACTAGAGGTGCCACGCCTCTTGGACTCTTGGGCCAATCGGTCAGGCAGTGCCAGCCAGGGCTGTTCACGCATAGCTTAAAAGCTCATGCTCAACTTCCGCACCGTCGCCGTGACGGCCTCGGCTAGGCCTCTCCTTCCAACGCGACATGTTCTTGTGGTGAACTCTAAACCATATACAATCATATACATCTTGAAGAGGGAGATAGAGTATACGGTGTACATGAGATTCTAATCACGTTGCCAAATTTCCTTCGCCTTGAAGCTCTCAAGTTCTCCACTTCCCTCACCTTGCAACCTGCAGGTTGGGATCGCCACAAGGATATGGTCCGGCGCTCAGATGCCATCGACCGACCCAGTCAGACCTCGGGGTCATGGATCATAGTCCCCAACCCACAATAAATTGCACGAACGTCTAGAGAAAAGGGGTGGTTGAGGGTTCGCCGTTTAAATTGGTCATGCCATAGAAAGGTGAGTTGAAGAGGGGCATCGGAGAGCTCAAAGATGATCCTCGCAACCTCAATAGCCAGCTGGAACCGTGCATCAGGCAGTTGAATGCTGCAGACAAGAATTACACGAAGGCAGTCGAGGAGAAGAAAACCGTTCAGTCCGAAAACTTGTGTTTTGGGGCAAAGGCGTTCCTCATACCACAGGGGTTTATTGGACCCTGAACCTTGGGCTATGCATTCCAAGAAAATGTTTCTTTGTGCTGGTTGCAAAGAACCAGGTGCTCCCATGTCAACCTGTTCCATCTCTCAAAGATCCATGCTCAGCTAGGAAACCCAGGGAGCAGGTATTTATATAAATCAAAAATATATTTGGTTTGAAAGAGAGCACTCCGCACCCCTTCCCTGCTTGCAAACTGGTAATAATGAACACCACTTTGCTGCATGGTGCAGGTTTCACCTGCTTCTTTGACTGGGCCCCATCCACCTCAGAGGCCCCCCCCCAGCTGGATCGGAGAGCCGGTCGCTTTTCCTCCACACCCTTGGTGGCGCAATCGTTGGGACGAGGTCAGCATGCAAGCGATGGTGGTGCGCATCGTTCGGGCGACCTGGAACGCGTTGCGAGACGCAAGGGGATGTCGTAGGTGGTTGGAAGGAGGGACCGAAGAGGAAGCAGTGTGGGGGTGAATTCATATGGGGGGTTCATTCATCAAGAGTTTTATATTGTAGATTACAATGTCGACTATTCTTATATAGTACATTACTTTATAGATTTAGAGTTTCTTGGTTCCCACTGACCAGAATCGGTCTTGCTTCGAGCACGGGTGTACGTTTCTCCGGGCTGGCAGATGCAGTCTTCAGGACGACCTGACCCTCGACGTGTTGCATGAATGCCGGGAGATCTCCCCCGCACTGCAGGGTTTTTAACTGAAAGGAGTTGCATAGTTTGAACTTGTCCGGTGTTGCATAGTTTGAGGAGTTGGTGTCACTTTCATGTGTTTCAGACCCAACTTCTAACTCCACCTAACAGCTGCTACTGGAGGGAAGTATTCCCAACCACTACGAATACCAGAAAAGTAAACTTAAAACGTCATAGTATATGATTACATGTCATAAATAACGTCTAATACGTTTTCCCCCCAAACCCAACTTCGAACCCGCCATATACATGATGATACAGTTACTTGTACATGTGTTTCATTGTTTTCCTCCAACCCAATCCATGCAAATGTGTCTTGTGTCTTGTTCTGTTCCCCTTCCAAATCCCAAGCCAAACCAACCCTTCGAACCACGTCGTCGTACCATCGTCGTATACCAAACGCCCGCAGAACAAAACGACGCCGTCCGGGTCCAGGTCACCGAGCTCTACAACCTCTTCCCCGCCGACTTCGGGGCCGCGGTGGTCCGCCTGGCCGTTGTTCGTTTTCCGCGCCCGGCCGCGGATGAAGCGGACGGCGGGAAACCGCCGGATGCAGGAGGAGAAGCGGAACAAGTCGAAAACAACAACCTGCGGCGCTTTTCTTGGATGTTTTATTTTGGGGTGGGGGGGGATTGTGGGGCACATGATATATTTCAGACTTGCAGATGGGGTGGTGACGATCTTTTTTTTCCGGACAAGATTAACTTGTAGAAACAAAACAAAATTAAGAAGGGGTTTCTTGATGATTCATCTCTAAGATTCCATCATGGACAAACTGACAAACCGTGTGGCCGTGCGGTGGTGGGATATATGAATACGGGATAATACGTGTGAGTTGGCTTGGTCATCAGATGTCATCAGTTGTCATCACGTTGTTTGGGGAAGGACTTTCAACAAAGGTCCAATGTCAGCGATGTGATGTTGGATGTGAGCTACCCCACATATACGTCAGGGTACCTCATCAAACTCACATGTTGGGTGATCCCACTCATTACCCCCATCGCGGTCGGAAAGAGGATGCACCACATTGCACCACCAGTCTTGCGCTGTGCGGACGACTTCCGAGCTTCTTCCCTTCGTTTGGGCAGCGGAAGCTTGGAGACTTCGGTTGGTTGGTGTTGTTATACCCCTTGGCTCACTAAGATGGAAGTGGAAAACTACCTCTTTCTAGAGGAGCCTCGTCTTCCCAGTGGCCATGTTCAATTTCCATGTTAGTGAGTCCGAGTGTATGTCTATCTTTCGAACTTGTATGTCGAGTCTAAGGGATGAACTTTTCACCGAGTGACATCTCATGATTCAGATCTGGTGACTCTACGTGGGTACAGTAACTCACACACTTCCGTGGGTAACGAAACACATGTTGAAACCCATCCGGATCGATTAGCTGCCGGAGCTAGGCAGACAGCTGGCCGGTGCCTTTGATTTCTCGCCGGTTATTTTTTTAGGCCCACCACCTAGATCGACCATCGGCCAGGCCAAAGAGGAATCCTTGGTGCGAAACTTGCTCGGGAGCCCCAGATATGGAGACCAGGCTGGTAGCAACCGACTCGATCTCCCCCCAAATGGACCGGACTCCACAGCTAGAAGCCGTAGCCTATAGCCGTCATACGAAACGACAAAAGTGAGAACCCACGAGACGGTATTTATGACTGTGAGAAACAGAGATGACACAGTGAAACCCAGTTCCTGTTGGTTCAAATTGACATGGCAATGTTCCTTTGAGGTTATACCCAAGTTATGTGGGAAACACTTGTTCTTGGAAACCGCCATTTGCAATGTTTAAGCCAACAAATCTTCCCGGATTCTGAGGTCATTTCTAATGAGATCTAAACTCAATGTGATTGACCAACTAAACTTCATTGTAAACATTGACCAACTAACCAGCAAAGTGAAGCTAGCCATGTTGGACACACACACACACACACCCCACGTTTCTTTGGACACAACGCCGCTTGTTGGTGCATCCCCAGGCGCGAGCATGTGACCTTCTACTGCCAACAGGTGGGCGGGCGCTCCACGTCATGTCAGGTTTATATAGTTAGGTCTCCACGGAGAAGGACACTGAAGTAGGTGCGACATGGGTGTGACATGGTGTGACCTTCGAGTGCACTTTCATGAACACACTACTATGTGCTATAGCTGCTTTTGCCCCACAAAGTAAATGCAGTTCACTGATTGATCTACACACCCGAAGACTGAACAATGCATTCCTGGAAGACGAACATGCTGGTCCCAAAACCAAATGGTTGGAACTCAATATACAGATGTTGCTGCAACAAGTCTTGTCAATGATGTTTGTATTCATTCCTAGGACCGACACCAACAAGCTGAGTCTCGAGCATTCCGTTGCCGCTCCCGCATGGCCCCGAAAAAAAAAAAAAGGATTCCATATTCGCTTTCTGACTCGGCGCCAGACCGACTGGCCCATGAAAGAAGACAAGGAGGTGACAGATGCTGTGGAAGCGATCATGTGCGTGGCAGCTCAGATCGCGGACGCGGAAATTCGCTGCGGAGCGAGCGGAACTGCCAGGTGGGCCGGCACGCACATTGAACTGCCATTAAGGGATCGTCATTGGTTTCACTCCTTTGAGGTCCGGTCGGTATACCGCAGTATACCCTCTCTGAACTAAGCATGCTTACATGGAGGTTATATACATGGATGGCATGGTGCCATGCACCATCTGTTTGGTATTCGGTTGCAACATGATGATCCTTGTACTTCGGCCATGGCATCCACGCCACCATGAACATGAATGAGGGAGTGTATATATCGACACTTCACTCAGCACAAGTACGAAAAGAATGACACCTGATAAGATCCAAGTCCTTAATCCAGAGACCAAGGATGCTGGCGCCAGTGAAACTCACTCAGACCAAGAGACTTTACGATCGACTCACTCAGACCAGACGCAAGCAGTTGTGTCGCAGTCGGATAGGAGTGGCATCCGTTCGAATCGACGTGGGCGCGGCACGTGGGCGCGGCACGAAAGCGCCGCAGTTCTCGACATCACACCCTGTACGCAGTACGCAGTACTCGCGTCATTGACATTAGAGGATGTGCAGAACGTCTTCTTGTTTGCAACAGAGTTTTTTTTGGCAGGGAATCCTCTATAATTACACAGTGTATACAGATTTTCCTCTATACTATGGAATCCTCTATAGATCTACATAGTTTCCACCGGAATCCTCTATATACAAAGGAATCCGGTCCAAGTCGTTGCCATACGTCACCGAGTCAGAGCCGAGTCTCGTCTCACGAGTCCGTGAGACTCCATGCAGCCATCCCATGTTCCTCACCAAATGACGAAAGTGGAGTGGATCTTTTTGACTCCTGGTTCTTAGAGTAAAATGCTCATCCGAACGAAAGGGGCCATCCATTTTCCACAGTGACCAACCATACTCCACGAAGTGTATCATTTTGGGGGCCAACTGGCGTTTTCGGGTGCCTCTTTCTCTTAAGCCGCCCTTCATCGAAACGTCGCTCAGCCTCCCGCTGGAGCGACCCGACGTGGCGAGGCTATGAGATGCAGCTGGCCCTGCGACTGGTCTACGACATCAACGAAGACTTACAGCGGCTGCTGGCGCCGTGGCGGGTGAGTGGCGGATCAACATGTTGTAGTCTTTGGAACGCATAGAGTTAATAAATCTCATACACTCCATGGGACTGCCATAAATGCCGCCCGATTGACCCCCGTGGCACCCCAATGTAGGCATGTACATGGAGCGTTTGGGTGTATGACCGGGATTCATGACAATTGCACGTGTTGTTTGCCGACCCTCCAACACTGTGGCGTATCTTTGCCCCAAATCTACCTGCATACAGTGGCTTCACATGGTTTCAGAGTCTATCCAGGCTCGGGTCCAGAACGCACCTCTTAAATGCTCACAGTCCGGTCGTGTGAAGAGTCAATTGTGTCAATCACTGCAGATGAACCCCAGGATTAATAGCAGTCTGGGCATCCAGGAAACAACTTTGGAGGCTGATTTTTGGAGGCTGATTGCATTCTCAGAGGATACGGGAATGGTCTAAGTTTTGTGCAGGTTCAGGGACCCCACACCAAAACCGCAGAGACTTGTGCAAGACATGAATTCTGAGGGCTGAGCTACCTCTGCTGAGTCTACTGTTGAAGGACCTAAATGCTACCCAGAAATGGGTCAAGTGTCCACCATTGTTTGCGTCTTCTGCATTTTCAGTGGTGCAGGATTTCTTCCGATTTGGGTCAATCGCCCGATTCGGTGTTTCCTTCCCGCTATCATCTTTGATTCAGTTTGGGATAGTTTGCAACTTTCTGGACATTGAGGACATGGTGTGCTGGAAGGGCAAAACCCAGCAAGCCCTGAATACCTGGCTTACCCTCAGATGGAAAGCTCTATCTTTTGGAAGTGAGAAAGTCGTCTATAGAGTCTAAACATGGTCCCTCAGATAGAACACTTGTTCTTCATGGTCCGTAAAAAAGTGAAAGGGGGACTGGGTGGACCACTGTGTTCGACATGGGGTGGTTTCTTTTAGGAAGACGGAAGGCGTTTCGACATGGAAGGCTTGGCCTGTGGAAGTGGAAGTAGAACTTCCAACACTAAGCACCTTTATATACACCTGACCTTCCTGTCCAACATCTTCCAATCCATGGTTTGCCAAGCAAAACACGATGAAAGCTGAGAAGTAGTTTTGAAGATTTTTGAAGATGTTCTATCAGGATGTCCTGAGAGTGCGGGAAGGCAAACCATGAATTCCTCGTTCCACCATCGTCTTTTCCTTCCCTTGGTGACGACGCGACGAAGCCGGGCGTGTCGTAGAAAGTGACGTCCCACCTGCGACCTCCAGGTGCAACAGGGTCTACTGGGCGTTTGCTGCACCATCCTATTGCGCCCCTGGCCTCCTTACCCCACCGGAGCGGCGGAAGTGGTTCGCCGACCCCGTTGTGTTCGCCGACCTTTCGAAGTTGTCGAGATAGATTGGGACACGGCAAGAAGCGCATCCAAGCGTTGATGCGCACGTTCGCCGACCTTGTGTCTTCATTTTGGTCGGTGCCCAGACGCTCCAAACGGCCCGACTGGTCCCTCAAAACCTAGGGATTTGAGACCCCTGACCCCTCCATATGAGGGTCCATGAGCGTCTGGGTGACTCTTTTTTGTGTCGTGTTGTGTTTGAAGTTTAATGGCCCCGAAGGATGAGCATGAAAGGTATCCAGCCCAGACATGCTCAGACGGTGCCTTCACTTCAGAAGTCAGAAACATCCTTAAACCACGCAGAAAACTTCAAACACATCGTTTTGTACAAGAAAACCATGCTCGTCCGTGTTGTTTTTCTTGGCCCCTCCGCCGACTCCGTTGACGTCATGGGAGCCGCTCCGCTGCTCGGCTCACGTGAAACCAAACGGCCGATGGGTCGGTCGGCGGATTGGAAGGTGCCTTTATAAAAAGAAAAACACACACACATTGTAATGTAGACTCTTGATTAATAAACCATCCCATTTGAGTTGAAACACCTCTTCGATATAGGAGGGTTTATGAATCAAGAGTCTACATTATGTCAGGTCGGGGTGAGCCCGAACAGATGTTTGTTGGGTGTGTGTGGTCAAACTTATTCTGAAAGAAGATCCAAAGTTCATGAGCGAATGGTTTGGGTATAGAGAAAACAGACCCGCTTGAAGAAGTTATGGTTGACCCCCTTCCCCCTGAAAGATACATGCACAGATGTCCCCCATCTAACCAGCGGAAGGGATTACTATCCTTTTCTTACACAGTTTCAAGGCCGAAGAAAGATAACCTGACCTACAACTAGCAAACCCTAGGGCTCCTGGCCCACCTCCTGAGAAGATGGGCCAGTGTGGTGGGTGTCAGGGGGGGTCGAATACCACCTCCTGAGGATATGGGCCAGGAGCCCTATAGGGAAAGTACATACCTGGACCATATCCTGTCTGGACATCCTGTCTGGAGATCTGGTAGCCTGTATTCTACTCCCAAAACAAAACACGCACAACACGGACATGGTCCCTGGTAGCTTGGAACGTAGTATAGGACTTCGTCTTTCCAGAATCGCTGGGAACGGGACCGCCAATGCGGCCAGGCCAACCCCCAAGCGGCAACAGGAGATGCGCGCAGCCATTGGAGAAGAGAGGAGCCGAGCCTCCCAACCACCACCCGTCGGAGACACGTCGCCCGCCCGACGCGGAACGCGAGACACCGGACTCAGAGGATCGGTGCGGACCATCGAAGAGAGCGAGGGAATCAGGAGGGGGAGAAGCCACAGAGGTCTTTCTTCTCGTGGGTGGGGAGTAGACGCGGATGGCACCACCTGTTGGGTGTTTCGGGAAAAAATTCAGGTCATCCGAGTCGAGCCCCAGGGCCATCCACGCCACATCACGCCACCTTGATGAGTTCACGGAGTGTATACTGTATACAAATATAGCCCGAAGATAGGTCCAGGTACATGTTGTGGTTGCTCTGATATCTGGCTTCAACGTGCCAGGAGCTACAAACATCCTTTTCTGCCAAAGCATGAACGTGAGCATTGGTCATTGTGGTTCTTGCAATTTCCGGGCTGCTGAGTGGGTGTTGAATTCTGGCACTCAGCGGCGATTGAAGGATTACATCAGCTGGTGATGCAATGCTGATGAGAATCTCATCTGGCAACCTGTAGCTCCAAACCTCCCAGGTTGACCTGTCGACGAAATCATGTCATCCCGAACGGGTCATGTGGCTGGTCTATGGGTGTCGGGCCGACGTTTTAGAGCGCTTCATTCACCCACACGTGGCATGTGGCTTCAACGAGTCGTAGCGTGTGGCGGGTTCAATGACACTGTGCGGTTGAAGAAGCGACCGGGCATACGATGATCAATCACTCTCAAACTATCCTTGTAAGCAAATAACCAGCTACATTTGGTGGTTTTGGGTGGTGAATGTAGGTCTTTACTGACATGGATGCTATGGGACTGTCATTTCAACAGAGGTTCTATAAATTATTAGCAGATCGATGCAGAAAGCGTTCCAGTTCCAGTTCGGTGGCGATCTTTTGACGTTTGCGCACCGTTTTTGAAAGAAATGACAGAGAGCGCACGGACTTGGAAGCATGCAGAGGCAAGGGTGGAAGGGTGGTGAATCAATAGATTACTTTAGTTCGCGTGATCCCCACCATGACATTTCAATCATTTGTTTTCATGCCATGGTGAGGAGTGTGTTGCCATGGTCGGGGGTGTTGTGGTTCTCGATGTTGCTTTTCGGTCCTCGGGTTTGGGGTTGTTGAGTGGTTGTTGTTTTAGTGTTAGTGTTGGGGAGTTCGCGTCAGGGTGTCGCCAGGATCTCCAGTTGGCATACAAAAGCCCGACCCCGTGACCCTTTGCCACGCAAAATGCTCCCCACACACAGGTAAATATATTCGTGTGCTGTGTGTTGTGGTTGTGTGTTGTGTTCGTGTGTTGTGGCTTTGTGTGTGTTGTGGCTGTTTGATGTAGTTGTGTATTTGTGCTTGTGGTTGCGTTTGTGTTTTTCCTCACCTGCCAGGTGCACCTGAGGGTCGTTAGAGCTTATATGATTTTATCAGAACTCTTATCCTCTTTCCTCTCTCCTCGGCAGCAAGTTAGAGCAAGTGCCAGATCGCAGTAGGTATTGCCGGACCCCAACCGCAAGTGCCCAATTGCAGTGGGCACTGCCGGACCTCAATGGCAAGCGCCAGATCGCAGTGGGCCCGATCGGGCCTCAACGGCCAGTGCCAGAGGAAAACTTCATTGGTGTCGCATGGATGGTTCCGACTAAAACTTGGAAGGGTATTGCAAGCAGCGTAGGCGTAGACCACTTGTCACAGAAGTCAATTTGCCCAACAGACTGCCGCCTGATGATTTGTAAATGAGCGAGGAGCAGAGGCTGCTTCAGAGACAATCAGTCAGGCGGAAATGATGAAAAAGCATATTTCATTCGTGGCCAAGCTTTGACAGCTATATGATATATGCCTAGATATATCGTCGAACTCACACATGGCCGGCAGAAGGCGCAAGCCAACTGGAGTTGGATGGAGGTGCTTGGCTGCCGCTGTATGTTCAAGATGCTTGGCAAGACAAGCCCGGGCCATGCTGCACGTTTGCCGTCCACCCTGTTGGAAATATATAACAAGACAGGCGCCCGAGTTTGCGCGCAGGCATCATTGTTACCACATCACGGCCATGGCAACTTGCTCCTCACCATGGCATGAAAACAAATGATTGACGTGTCATGGTGGGGATCGCTCGAAGTAAACTAATTGTGGGTGTGTGCTTTTGGTTGTGTATTTGTGGCTGTGTGTTTGTAGTTGTTTGCTTGTGGTTGTGTTTTGTGGTTGTGTCTTTGTGGTTGTGTTTGTGATTGTGTGTTGTGGTAGTGTTTTGTGGTTGTGTGCTGCGGTTGTGTGTTGTGGTTGCGTATTGTAGTTTTTGTGTTGTGGTTGTGTCTTGTTTGTCATTGTGTTTTGTGTGTGTGGTGTAGTTGTGTTTATTCTTTTGATATTATTACACAATAATATTAATTATACATATATATATATACACTTTTTCCTGGCCTTGAAGCTTCGCATCAGGAATCAGAAGAAGGGAAGATCCGACCTGGGTGTGGGTCTGAACGAAGTGCATCGTGACACTCACTTGCAGAGGCTTGATCGCGAAGGACCTGAAAGGGGTCTCGAACAGACACAGAGATTTCCAAAACAAACATCCTGCAAAGTATCGCTATTGGTCGATCTGTTCCAGTGTAACCAGCCATTTTGTCTCAAGAATGGATGCTGGGTAAGTGCCGGTCCACAGGGACACTGCCGCTGATACGGCAAGGTCACAGACCATTACACCCCAGAATGCCATCGTGAGCGATGTTACAGGTTTGTGCGAAATGGCGTCAAACCGATCTGGACCGCTGGTACAGCGCCGCCTTTGGAAAGCGCGCCCCGCCCCGCAGCGTGGTTGCGCTTTGGAGCCTCCCTCTACGCGACTTGCGCTTTACCTGTTGGCCGGGCTCTCGTCGAGCGAGGATTGTGACGGCCTTGCGCGGGGTCTCTTTTCTCGGGGCCGCTGGGAAGATGCATGGGATGGAAAGACAGATCGGCAGAAGACAAACAAGAGAAGTCAGATGGTCAGAAGAGACACACAGGTAAATATATTGCTGTGTTGTGTGTTGCGACCGTGTGTTTGTGGTTGTGTGTTGTGGTTGTGTGTTGTGGTTGTGTGTTTGTAGTTGTGTGTTTGTGGTTTTGCGTTTGTAGTTGTTTGCTTGTGATTGTGTGTTGTGGTTGTTGCGTTGTGTCCGTGTGTTGTGTTTAGTTTAAGTGGTGTGGTTGTGTGGGTGTTGTGGTTGTTTGTTGTGGTTGCGGTTGCCCTGGCGGTGTTCGCTGCTGTTCTGCGCGATCATTTTGACTGTGCTTGTAGAACTCTGATTTTTTGCATAGAGAAGCCGCTATATAGAATAGACTGCGAGACAGACCGTCGCCAGACCCAGACGGAGCCAGGGGCTTGACTTTACTGAGGCCGCTTTTCTTCATTGGGCGACCTCTGCTGTGGAGCGATTGCTTCACGTGTGTGGCCTTGACACCTTAAGTCCAGAAGTCATGGGTCAAAGTCTTGCTGCTCAACCAGGGCAAGAGCCTTGCAGATTTTGAGAACCTCGAGGCGAATATCAAATCAGCCATTTCGCCAGAGGCAAATGCTTTCTTGAGGATCCTCAATATCCTGGGAGAGCTGAGCAAGACGGACGACGCCCCAGACACATCAACCAAGGAAGGTTTGAAAGAGCTTGTTTTGCGCCACATCCAGGCTTCAAAGTTGGACATTGATGAGGTCAAAACCTTGCCCGGCTTCCAGAATGCCGAGGCTGTGCTTGGCAACTTGAAGTCAACTTTGGAGAAGACTTTGTCGGACTTGCGCCAGAAGCTTGAAGCCCAGAAAATTGCTTTGAAGCCCATCTTTGATGATTACTTACAATGGAGCTCTAGCCTCGCAAAACCAGGCACGGCAGAGGGAGGGAGGAGGGAGGGAGGGAGGAGGGAGGGAGGGAGGGAGGGAGGAGGGAGGGACGGTTGTTTTACCAGGCTTGAGCTAATATTTTAATATTCCAGCCATGAGTCATCAGTCAGGCGCGCGCATGAGAGGTGAGACCATACAGGGGTTAAGTTGGAAGCGAAAGCCGGCGTGCGGCATGGCTCCCTCCACATCTCAGGAAGATAGGGGCAGGGCATGTGGCTAATTCTCTTTCAGTTTTCATTTTCACTTCGTCCGTGTTTCTTTGATGTTGGATGTCTCTCACTCCCTTCTTCATTTGCTGGGCTGTGCAGCCCATGACCCATTCAATTCTCAGTTCACTCGATATATTAACCGGTGAACTGCGTACTGGGTCAGGCTGCTGTGGACGACATCTTGAAAGGTTGGACAGAGGAAGAAAGGAGTCAAATACTTGGACGATGGTCCAATGCTCGGTTTCTTTGCTCCAAAGCAGCAGCTTTGATTAGAATCTTAAATTAGGGTTAGAGTCTCTGAGGCCTTCAGCCCATTGCGGAGCTGGAGATGATGGCTCAAACCCTTGCGCCGTTCAAAGACGACTTCAAGCCCGACGTTGAGGGTGGCAGCGCAGATTCCCTCATCGCCTCTTTCAATGAATTCGTGAACTTGGGTAGTCTTCTTGGTCAAGAACTATCTCTGACCGCAGCTTGCTTGATCGGAGCTGATTTGAGCACAACCGATTTGAGCAAAGTTGATATTGTCAAACAAGTGGCGGGATTTTACCAGTATTGCCAGTCACACAATTTGAGCAAAAAGGTCCTGCCCAAGCCATTGGTCGAGCGCTTGGACAAAATTGTCAAGGACTGACAAGTTTTTGAGTCTCGCTCTTTGGCGCATAGCGTACTTTCGTCTGAGGCCTCTTGTGAAACCGTTTCCGACGCCACAGCCGCAGGATGCGAAGGCCATGCCACCGCCGGCGCTGGCTGCAAAGGTAGCTAAATCATGAGCTGCTGCAGGTGCAACATCATCTGCATGTTTGCGGCTGTGTGTTCCCCACCTGTCAGGTGTCCTCGTCCTCCCTCCTCCTTTTCCTCCGCCTCCTCCTCCGCACCTCAACCGCCATCTCCGGATGGTTCCCCACCAGACCTCAACCGCAAGCTCCGGATGGCAGTGTTCCCGCTCAACCGGAATGAATGTAAGAAGATATGCCAGAAAGAGTGCGAAAATAATGGTTCAATGCATGCCAGATTTTTTTCAGATTGACATGTCGTGGTGCGGATCACTCGAAGTAAAGTAATTTGCGTTTCTGTTTTTGTGGTCGTGTTTGTGGTTGCGTTTGAGGTTGTGTTTGTCGTTGTGTTGGTGATTGTCGTTTGCGGTTGTGGTAGTGGTTCGAGACTGCCCACTGCAATCTGACGCTTGCGGTTGAGGGTGCCCACTGTGATCAGACCTTTGCTGTTGAGGTCCGGGAGGAGAAAGACGAGGATGAGGAGTTGTGGCAATAATTAATCCTCAGCTGACAGGTGACGAAAAACGATGTTCGATGATCGATCTTGATCCACAGAACATTGAAGCCATCGAAGCCATGAGTGGCCGAGTGGCTGAGGAGTTTCCAAATGGTGCAATGCTGGGCCAGGCTTCAGCACTTGGGAGACCACAACGTCGCATCACATGCAAGAACAATCTCGCAATGAATCGAAACCAGGACAGTCGGAGTCCAAATTGGTGAAGGCCTTGCATGGCCCTTCAGATTCCAGAGCGGCTGGAGGCATACAATGTTGCTAAACATATTGATGAACATTGTTGAGGGTGCAAGATGCGGCACCACCGGCCATGATATCATCACGGCGACACCTTAGGAAAAATTAGGAGGAATTGCAAAGGATCAGCTGACGTCAAGACTGTTCGTATTCTTCGCATCGTCTACGCAGGTGCTTTCCACGGTGTAGCGGAGCAGCTGCCCTCCTGCGCTACGGAGAAAGCCGCCAAGCGGCAGCTCCGCCGCCTGTCCGTCCACGCACCTTTCCTGGAGTACTTGATGACCGCGACGTTCGCCGTCTGCAAGTTCTCTTTCCACATCTCCCAGACTCTGCCACGGTCGGCGGTTGAAAAGTACCTGAGACAGATCTTACCGCACAGCAGGGCTGACACAGCTTGCTCCGGAAACCGTCGTCAAACACGTGTGTTGGGAACCATGGTCAGTGGGGAGACTTCCATACTCTCCGAAGAACCCACAAGCGAAGGCATCCACATCATGAACAGTGGATCACAAAAAGGTTTATTCATCCGAAAAAAAGGCATGTCAAAATCTAACCCTGGTTGACCACCAAAAATGAACCAATGTTCATGTATGTTTTGTTTTTCCATAATTACATAATCTTTAAGTTATGGGGTTCCAATTTTCCATGCAACCTTTGCTTTTCCCACGCAACATCAACAGATTCCTCTTTCGAAAAGGGATGTTTTACAGTTTTCCATGGTTTGACCAAATGTCGAAAGGTCTTGGAGGTCTTGACCCATTCCACCTATCGATTCTTCCGATTCCGGTGTCCAGGAGCGACGAGGACTTCTCCGAGACGCTCACCTTGCAGGAGGCCAAGCTGCTGGCGGGTGCGGTGGCCAGCCGGTGAGGAGACCCGGAGATTGGGGAGTTGGGCGCGGAGTTGATTGGACGTGGGGTTGGAGTGGTTATAGCCTAGTCTTGTTGTTGTTGTTGCTGATATTTTTTTGTTTATTTTGATAGTTGTTTTTTTTTGGGTTTGGAGATGTTTTAAGGGAAGGTTTGCCAGTCCCAAAGGTTCCTGTTCGTTTCTACATCGAGGTTTCTGAGATTTCTTGGTGATGCGACATCAGGTGGTGCCGGTCAATAGCTTCACCAAGCGCAAAGGAATCCTCAAGGTGACATTTTTTATTGAAGATGCTGCTGAAGGACCATATATATAAGATGAGTACTATATACCAATCATCAAATAAGTACTCTATATATATATATCACATCGTGACTGTGTATCTCCTCAATGGCATACGAAACTCACCACATTCAGCACCTCATCACTTCCTTCAGTCTTCCTTCAATGTGGTTTCCTAACTGGATCTCTTTCAGTTTTGCAACCTTGCACCCGTTCCGGCCACCGTACCTCACCCACCTTGCATAGTCCACTGCGACACACAAGGACGTATACACTCCACTTACACCACCTGCCCCACGAACCAACAGCACCTCTCGTGCGGCCGGATTCTTGGGTTTGGTGAAGGTGAATGGCAGAATTTCCTTCTTTGAAGATCTGCCAAGCCATGGAAAAAATGAAAACATATCGTCAAAGATGACACAAAAACAAACTCCTTGTTTTTTGCCTCACCGTACACGCTATGCAGGGCCCTTCTTTTTGGGCATTCTCGTTCGCCGACGACTCGATGACGTGGCCCGAGGCTCCTGTCCTTGCCTGATGCTTACAAGTACATCCAGGCAGCGTCGAGAAATGGCGGGGTTCGCTGTCGCTTGTTGCGGAGATTGGTGGTTGACACATAGGACCCGACGTCTCTTGTATCTTGGAAATGGGACATGACTCGACCCTAGAAACAACATGTATATTTAATATATTTGTACCCACTTTCCGAGGTACCCAGTGAGACCCAAGGTAAACATGTGCTGCGGTATAAACCTGGGCAGCGAACGAAGAAATGTCGGAATTGGCGCACTTTTCAAGAGTGCCAGGCGGTATGGCCGGGCGTGTGGCACCATCATAGGCATTGGTTTTTGACAGGCCAACCTTGATCGATGACAAGTGTCCAATGTAGATCTCGAAGTCGTGCAGGGTAGTCCAGCCAGGACATCCATTGGGTACTGGAGGTTCTATTGACGATGTTCTATGTTCTCTTCGACCCAGAGGTGAATCTTGCCGCGTTTTCTTTTGAGCCGATGTGTTGAAGAGTCCTTTGCCCAAGGATCCTCCAGTGCTGGACTGCTGGACTGTGATGTCTTTGTTATCTGTCACAAAGGACCCCGAGTTCTAAGACAAAAGCAAAGTCAAAATAAACAGTCAAGATTGGCAAACGGTAACTCAGTAAATTGAGTGTGACAACCTTCTAAAATGATCTAACTGCAAGGGTTCAAATTGTACCCCTCGTTCATTTTCATGTACATCCAGGAAAAGACCCACATGGAACCAAATTACATTCCGGGCCTTTGGAAGACGATGTTCCTTTACAACCCAATGGTTTCGTCTTGTCCATTTCATCCATGTATGCCCCTGGCCTGTCCTATGGCAGTCCCATGTGCCGTGTTTGGGTGTTGTTAATTCTATAATCCTCCTTTCAATCATTGACACTATCTATTAGCAGCACAGGATCGACGAGCACGTGTGCATGCACTTGGAATGTTTTCTCAGTGGGGCTCCTCAGGTTTCACGGCCGTGGTGTGGCGGATTGGGCGTGTGGCGTGGTGTGTTTGGTTGTTGCCTGGTGATGTTTGTTTAGTCTCCGGGGTGCTTGTTGGAGGTCACACGTGACCACAAGATGGTGATGTCGCAAATGGAAACAAGCTGGTGATGTCGCACGGAGGACACCACAAGTAGTCGTTGGAGGCACCGGACGGAGGCATGGTGGGGTTCCCCTTCGCCGCCAAGTGCGAAGTCCAGCGAAGAACGTCGATGAAGGTCGAGTGGTTAACAAAGCCCTGTGGAGTGCCCTGTAGTGGAGTGGTACTCCAGGGCCCTGTCGAGTGATTCTGTGACAGTGCCCTGTGGAGTGGTCAGAATGACATGCTGACCAGGGTAGGTCACCTGCATCTCGTTGATTTCAGTCGGATTTATCTATGATCCACCCTCACAGATGTCTCATGAAATCACATGAACAGACAACAGACTCTGATCACCAACTGGTGGATTCTTTCACTCAGATGGTGATCAGAGCTTCGATCACATGGCGCACCAGGCATCACTCGGGTCGTCATGGGGTGGCAGGATACTGACCCGTTTTTTCGCATCATGCAGGTGATAGTAAAATCATTTTTGTTTCTAACACATATATCTTTTGGTCTATGGTTTTATATGTATTTTGTCCAGCTCCTTAAGCAAAGCCAAGCATATATTGAGCCAGATGGAGCAAAGAAATCGTTTTTTTTGGTTATTAAATTGAATCTGTCTCAAAGGGATCAAAGGCCTCAACACAAGCAGGAGGGTGTTATTATCATTCATATTCATTCCAAAGAGGTCAAACTCCTCACTGACCTCAAAGGGGTTTTAGTTCATTGACCCATTGTTTCGACCGTTCAGGATTCATCATTGGAGTGATGCAGTCTTCGAGCAACAGGCACCTGCGCCAGGGGTGGCGCCTTCTTGGAATGCTCCTGGGTTCTCCTGGGTTCAGCAAAGCAAGAGCTGTATGAAGGCTGGGAAGGTGGCATGAACCATACCAACCATGGCTCCCCCAATGCATTTTGGGATCCTTTGGCAGAACTCCGGAAAACTTGAACCGGTGGTTGCTTGGAGGGGCTGAAATTGAGCTGGCGTTCAGTTAATGTCATTATTAGGTTGATGCTATACATTGTAAACTGAGCAGAATTGACCTCATTGCTCATCATCATCATCATCATCATCATCATCATCATCATCATCATCATCATC